TATATATATATATATATATATATATATATATCATGCTAAGATCGCTTTTGGGGAAAAAGTTAGATTGTGATAACAGAAATTACTACGTAAAAAGCAGATGATTAACAGAAACAGGGGGAAAAGGACTACTTAAAAGGCTAATTTTACCCCTGGAAAGCTTCTAAAAGTATCCTCATCTGGGTAATTGAGTTGACAGAAACCTTTTGACTGGGGTGGTCCCAACTGTACTGGGCAGGTAATAAGTGTTATTTTTCTTTTGGCACTGTAGTGCGTTATTGTTGGCACAAGCCCATGTATGTGTGGTTTGTGCAGGTTGCAGGTAGCTGGCAGGCTAGTTCAGATGTTTGCCATCTCTCTTACTAACTATAATCATCATGATGAGCATTGTAACTTGAAGTGCAATAAGTGTCAATGTAATTGCCCAACTAATTTAATTGGGAGACAATCCAGGTGTGTACGTCATCACGGATTCGTGCAACGATCGAGAATAGCGTAAAACTTGTGTCATACCCATATGACAAAAGTAAATAAAATTCTGGCCAGAATGCATTTATATGTACATATATGTTAAACATATGTAATAAGTAAATATGTGTTAAATATATAGTATGTTATAAACAGCAAATGCCTAAGGAAATGTATTTTTTAAACTGAAAAAAAAAATTTTGTTTAAACCTTGTGAAAATGTCACAAAATATACTGCAAGAAGAGAAGATTTAAAAAGCATTGTGGGTAATGCAAAATTAACTTTTTAAAATATATTTTGAACTAAATAAATATAAAAATTGTCAAAAATGTAGAAAAAATATAAATATTTTGTGTACATATATTTTAAAATCGACTGTATATTAGTATTATTTTGGCATTTTTTGATGATTATAAAATATTAAAAAATACATCTGAAAAAAATATTCAGACATTTGGTTCCACTTTGGATTAGGGAACACTATTCACAGTTGCTTATTTAAAATGCATGTTACTAGCATATTGGCTGTTTATGAGTAATAATAAAGCACATAAAAATGCCTTATTCTGCATGACCATATTCTAGATCCCTTAACCAAACATAACTACTACAACTACCTTACTTACTATCACTAAGCAGAAAATTAGGAGTTTATTGAGGGAAAATATTGATAGTGAATATGCGTTCCCTAATCTAAAGTGTTACCAGAGATTTTCTTTGCTGCTGTGTTTTCATTTGGACTTTTCAGGACAGTCTTACTTTAATGGATTTCAACGCAATCAGTGCATGAATCAGCTGCTGGCAAATCTGTGTGTGTGTGTGTGTGTGTGTGTGTGTGTGTGTGTGTTGATCTTTATAGTTGATTAGAAAATCATCTCTGGGCCAGAAACGCATGCCAAGATACACTCTCAGTGGGTGCTGGATACGTGAGTTCTATTAGATTTACTGGTGCACCAAAATCAACTGGCTATTCGAGAACCATGAGGAATCATGGCTGTGATGTCACTCATTTGAATTTAATATAAATGCGTATAGTAAATTTGAACAAACTCAATCAAACAAGTTAAAGTCAAAGATTGTTACTCTTAGAAGTTTTTTAGTCATTAGATCATTCCTACAGCTTATCAGTAAAGCCAAAGCAAAGTTTTTTATTACACAACAAACTCTCATCTCATTGTTTCCAATAAACCGTCAAGCAAAAGACCAATCCAGCAAATTTTAACCACACAATGAGGGGAATTGGCAGGTGGAGAACTGTGATATCCATCTGTTTACCCGCTCTGCCAATCTTCTCCATCCTCGGCATTCTGATCCATGAGTCGAGATTTAAGGGAACATTCTGGTTTCAATACAAGTTAAACTCAATTAGCAGCATTTGTGGTATAATGTTCATTACTACAAAAAGTCATTTCAATTATTATTATTATATTATTATAAAAAAAAGCAAAACTCAAGGTCACGATGGCAACATTATGCCACAAATGCTGTCAAATGAGCTGAATTTGTATTAACCCTGGAATATTTCTTTAAAGGGTTAGTTCACCCAAAAAATAAAAATTCTGTCATTAATTATTCACGCTCATGTCGTTTCAAACCCGTAAGAGATTCGTTCATCTTCGGAACACAAATTAAGATATTTTTTATGGAATCTGAGAGCTGTCTGACCCTGCATAGACAGCAATGCAACTGAAATGTTCACAAGTCCAGAAACGTAGCAAGGAGATCTGTAAAATAATCCATGTGACATCAGGGGTTCATCCGCAATTATACGAAGCTACGAGAATACTTTTTGTGCGCAAAAGAAAAAAAAAAAAACGACTTTATTCAACAATTCGTCTCCTCCGCATCACCCTGTAGAGCCATTTTGGAGAATATCAGCTGGACGTAAACAGCGTATGCTGTTCTGTGTCAGCTGTGTCACGTGCATTTCCTACGTTGTTGTGATTTGATCTGAACGGAAACAGTGTATCCGCGTGTTGCAGCTGACACAGAACAGCATACGCTGTTTACGTCCAGCTGATATTCATGAACCACTGATGTCACATGGATTATTTTACAGATCTCCTTGCTACGTTTCTGGACTTGGGAACATTTCAGGTGTATTGCTGTCTATGCGGGGTCAGACAGCTCTCAGATTCCATCAAAAATATCTTAATTTGTGTTCTGAAGATGAAAAAAGGTATTACGGGTTTGAAACGACATGAGGGTGAGTAATTAATGACAGAATTTTCATTTTTGGGTGAACTAACCCTTTAAGACATCCAAGGTGAGTCCATCCCCTGATGTTTCATCTTATTTTGAACCCTAGATTCTTCATAACCATGTATACCATCGGTAATATTTACATGTGACATGTGACACATGTGACATCTCTTGAGACACTGCATTTACGTAACTGGCCTATTAATCAGTAGTATCTGGGAGTAGGCCTGATTGTAACTAGTAGAACAGTACAAACACTGTCTGCGCACTGGATTTGATTGTTTACTGGTGTGTTGACTCACAAAATGAGTCAAACTGACAACACAACCAGCAAAGTAAGGCATTTCAGTTAAACACTATAATGCAAACATCTCCCACGGTACTCATTATTTTTATAGATAATCTAGATAATTATATAATCTCTAACTGGTCAGGTAAGATACTGTAAATAACATATTTTTATTCCTCACCTTTTTTCCCCCCAAGACAGTTCAGTGCAATGTAACACACAGATTACATATTTTAGGATAGAGCATAACAAATAAAAATGCAAAAACTATGAAAATAAAAATAATAATAACATGAAAGATTTTATTAATT